CCCCTGCGCCTCGGAGCCTCCGAGAGGCCCGGGCGGGCGGCTTCGGCGGGGCCGCTGCGCATGCGCGGCGCTGCGGTTCCCCCGCCCCGCCCCGCCCCGCGGGGCGCACGTGGGCCATGACGCGGCGGTGACGCGCGCGGCGGGGCGGGGGTTTGTTTCCGGAAGTGCTCGCGACGCGGCCTGGCCCGAGCGGAGGCGCCGGCCTGGCCTGGCCCGACCCCCCGCCCCCGCCCCCGACCCGCCCGGGCAGAGGCGGTGGAGGCCGCCGCCCGCGGAAGAGCTCGCCGGCCGGCCGGCCGCGAGGATGGAGATAACGAGGAGCAGTGAGTCTGGGGCCGGTGGGGCTCCGCGCCGGGCGCCTCTGAGCATGTGCAGAGTGCCTTCCCTCGCCTCCGCGGCGGCTCTTCCGCTCCCTCCTCCCAGTGACTGCAGCCGGACCGGAGCGCCAGGCGTGCGGCGCATCCTCTGCAGTCGGGCCGGCCGGGCAGAGGGTCGGTGCGTGCGCGACGGATCCTGACGCCCCCGGCCGGTCCCCGTCGCCCCGGCCTCGCCCGCAGTCGCCGGGGGCTCCGCCGAGGGCCCGGGGCTCGGCTGCCGGCACTGCTGGAGCGGCCGTGGCCGCGCATCGGCGGCTCGGCTGGCCGGTGTCCGGAGGCGAGCGCGGCCTGAAGCGAGCTTCCCTCGCCCGGGTCTCGACGCACGCGAGCCTCGGAGATGCGCGTGGCCGCGCCGATCCTCCCGTGGGCAGGCGCAGCCGCCCTGCGCAGGCGAGCCTCGGAAAGCCCCGCCACGCGCAGCCTCGCGCAGCGGGGCCTCCTGGAGTGCTCTTTCCCACGAGCGGGCGCGGGACCTCACCTGCTGGGCATCGCTCAGGGCGAGGGGGGCGCGCCCCGAGGGGCTTTGCAGTCTTGCAGCAGCGTGCGATGTGATGCGACCCGGGGAAGACCGCAGAGAAAGCAGATGGAGGGGGAAGGAAGGGCAGAAGGGACGCCCCCCCCATGTCAGCTGCACTAGTTTTTATTTATTTATTTATTTATTAAAACATTTCTATGCCGCCCCATTCGCCGAAGCCTCGGGGCGGCTTACCACATATATTAAAATACAAGAAATACAAGAAATAACAATATAAAATAAGTCGCCCTGGCCAGATAGTTCCCAGCAGAGGAAGGTGATCGAGGGGGGCAGGCGATGCCGGAGGGGGCTCTTCACGGCCAGGCTGCCCCAGCCGCCCGGGAGCCTGGCCGCAGGGCATGCCGTGCCGTGCTGGTCGGCCGGCGTGCGATGCTGGTTCCCCCAAATCAGGAATGGGCTCATGATGTTGGCGCCCGGGGATTCCTCTTTCGAAGCTGAGCGGTGGCAGATTCGGGGCAGGTGAAAGGCATGAGCTACCCACGCAGTGCCTAATTTACACCCACAGGATGCAGCGACGGCCCCCAATTTGGACAGCATTACAAGGGAACTAGCAGGGTTACTAGTCCCGATGGCTCTCCGCAGGATGCCTCTGGCCCCCAGTCGCTGGGCACTGCGGCAGGCGCCGCTGTTGCAGTCGTCCAGCTTGTGATTTCCCATGAGCAGAACGTGGACTGGCAGACCCTTGACCTGCATCAGTGGGGCGCTTTCACTTTTGATTGTCACATGATTGTGCGTGGTCTGATTTCTCTCCCCTGCAGATTTTAAGGATAATCTCAGCAAAGTTTATGAAGCTATTGAAGATGCAGATTTTGTGGCTATTGATGGAGAGTTTTCAGGTACTGCAGGGCCAAGTGTATACTTGGTGGAATTCTTTGTACTAGTTTGATGTAAAAGATCTGAATGCAGTTTTGCATTGATCCTTTTTCTGGAAAGTTCTCATTTTGCTACATGTGGCCAAGCTGTGATAATACTTTTAAAATTGATAGTGCCACTCATAGAATGCTGCTCTTTTCTGGTGCTGCCTCTTGTTTAAGACACATGTTCAGTCTCATGGATGCCAGAGAAAAATGATTTTGATACACTTTTAGAAAAAAAAGGAAGGACATTACTGCAAAACATTAAGCACATTGGTTGCAATAGTTCCAGATTAAGGGTGCAAACAGATGTATGTTTAGATGGCCGTGCTTTTCTCTGTTCAAACACATATAGGATAGGGAAACCCAGAGCCTCTTCTGTGCCTTGCTTGTTAATTTCAAGAGGTTTATTTAAAAACATTGTTTTGTGATCGTTAGGAATTAGCGACGGACCATCTGTTAGTGCATTAACCAATGGCTTTGACACGCCTGAAGAAAGGTATCAGAAGCTTAAAAAGGTACAAGAAAACTCTTACGTTTTTTCATCACAGTGTTTATTATTTGAATGTTTGGTTTCTGGAGGTGTGATATCTGTCTGTGGTCCAGATAAGCTTGTGACACCAAGAACAGGGCCAAAAGGAAAATATGTGTAAACATTGGAATTATGTGTTTTTTCTGCCTTCTGCAGCATTCCATGGATTTCTTGCTGTTCCAGTTCGGCCTTTGCACTTTTAAATATGATCAGACAGAATCTAAGTATGTTGCTTCCTTGACTTCTTGGCACTTTTAAATCTAGGTATATTCATACTGAATGTCCAATTGACTTGTAATGCTTTGTATTTCCTAGATACATCACAAAATCATTTAATTTCTACATCTTCCCCAAACCTTTCAATAGAACATCCCCAGATGTCAAGTTCGTTTGTCAGGTTAGTAAGAGAATTAATTCGTAAGCTTCTCTCTCTCCCTCAGCACTGCTTCTCCAGGCGCAGGGGGAATCCAAAGCAAAGCTTTTCATTACAAGATCGGTTCTGCGTACCTGTAATGCTCGAACGTGATGCATGGGTGCTGTTGTTAGGAAGGGAGTCCTGATCTGCCATGCAGAAGGAGCTGTCTCTGCTCTTTGAATATATCTTGGTCGATAGATACTGCTTAGCATTGTGCATGTTACTTTCTTAGCAGCTTAAAAGCAGAGTACTTTTACCAGAGCCAAGTAATGTCTGCCGTCCATCACATGGCTATCTTGTTTCTTCTTCCAGAGTTCAAGTATAGACTTTTTAGCAAACCAGGGATTCGATTTTAATAAAGTTTTTCGCAATGGTAAGCTTCCTTTTTTAATGTTTCACCAGGATTAGGGGAATGTATCTGATGTTTCCACAGCCATAATTCTGGCCTGCTCTTCTCCATCACCGCATAATCCCAAGCACAGTGCCCTTTTTTGAAGACGTTGCCTACAACCCACAGTGCTTCTCGGGCTCCTGAAATTAGGAGGTGCGGCAGTGGCAGTTGAGGCTTCGTCGAGGCCCCTGGCCACACGGCCTGGGGAGATGAGAGCCAGCCCACGGGGGGGGGGCACTCTGTCAGGAGGCAGGATCGACACCCACCCAGAGAAGCACCTTCTCCTAAACCGACAGCTTCCCCACCCGATTCCCCACGCCACCCGCTTTGGTTGCAAAACCCTCTTCTCTTTTCAAGGGATCCCTTATTTAAATCAAGAGGAGGAGAGGCAGCTGCGGGAACAGCACGATGAGAGGCGCTCCCAGGCCAACGGGACTTTGGGGGCTTTGTCCTGCGTGTCTCCCAGAGCCACCAAGTGTCCCGTGAAGATTCCAGACGACCAGAAAAAGTTCATCGAGAAAGTGGTGTAAGTGGGACCTTGTGAAGCTTCGCTCTTTCGGGTGGATTCAGAGCAAGCACCTCCACGGCCTGCTTCAGTTGGTTCGCGTGTGGGGCGCTTGCAGTCGGTCTTCTGGCTTCGTCCTCTGTAAGGTTTCAGGTGTTTGTGGGACGAAACCAGTGAAAAAGCAGCTGCTTAATGTCCCATTTCTCTCCCCTCTTTTCAGAGAAAGAATAGAAGATCTCTTACAGAATGAAGGAAGCACAAATTTGGAGCTGGAGCCATGTACGGGGTCAGTTCACCCGAAAGCACAGCAGCGATCTTACAGAAATGTCACGGCATGTGCAGGAGGGCAGAGAGGAAGTACAGTGGGGTGCTGGCCTCCCCCTGGGAAGTTTAGTCAAGTTATTTCTCTTGTTGCAGGTTTCAGAGGAAACTAATCTACCAGACCTTGAGCTGGAAGTAAGTGTTGTGTCGTCTTTCTGCTGAGTGTCCTTTAGAGGGGGGGCTTGGACTGCCTGCCTTTGCACAGGCGGCGGCCTCTGGAGATGCTCGAGTTGTAAGAAACGGCCCTGAATACTTCGCTGGGGTGCACAGACCTCAGCACCTCTCTCTGGGTTTGGTCTGTGGGAGGAGGCGGCAGCAGGACCGGCTGCATTTCCCAGGAAGCTGTTGTCACTCCTGGTTCACACACACACGTGCGTCCTCGTCACACACTTGGCTGCAGTTCCGCGAGGTTTTGCTCCATTTGCCGAGTGTGGAGAAATTAGGTGCTGGATGTGGACCCCTGAACCTTCTGTAAAAGATTCCATGAACTTGGCACTTGGTCGCGAACTATAGTACTGCTTTCCAGCCTGCTCAGTGAACATGCAGAACGGAAAACTGTGCCCCGACATTTGAAGTTTGGCACAGGCCTTCTGTTTTGCATGTCGCAGTTCCCCGGGGAGGGTACAGGCTGACAGAGGACCTCTCGCTCAACCTCCTTGCGAGGTGGCAGTGCCCCTGCCAGGCTGTCTCCGGGCAGTCTCCAAAATTAACACTGACGTGGCGCATTCTTGAATAGCTTCTCCCAGTGCAGTATAAGCTTGCCCGGAATTCAGCCCTGAAACACGATTTAATCATTGATCTGTATTTTTCTTGCTTTGCTGTAGGTATCCAAAAGGCATCCATGTTGAAACTCTGGAAACGGAGAAGGTAGCTACTTGTGCGTTTCAAACGCGCTCTGTTCTGTGCCGAGGCCGACTAGGGCTGAGCGGCTGGGTTTGTGTGGTATGACCAGGGCTGCCAGCGCTGGCACCCGCTTGGCCCGTCCCGTCCCGCGGCCTCGGAGGCTTGAAAAAACAAACAAAGCTCTGAAGTGCCTGTGCAATTTTTGGCCTGGAAACAGGGCACCAGTTTAAGAGCTTGGGAATAAATGGGCGAGCACTTGCATACACACATTAATGGCGCAGCTGCGACAGGTATGCAAACCTCCCCTCCGTGCGCTTTGGCAGCTGCGATATACGAGGATTGACCGGAAAAGACTGCACAGATTGGACGGCCGGAGCAGCACGCTTGTGCAAGGCCTTCAGAATGAATTGTTTTTAAAATTGTTGGAGCATCTATATTATTCTTTTAAAATAGGCAGCTAAAAATACCCCCCACCCTCCGTCTAGCTTGTTGCAAAACTTCAGCCAGTCATTTTGACTGTTTTCCCCTGGGAGTTGGAAGTGATGTAACTGGATAGCCATCGATGTGGCCTTTGGCGCCCGTCTGCCTCTGCCGGGGGTAACACAGGCTTTTCTTCACCAGAAGGAGCGCTATATCATCATTAGTAAAGTGAATGAAGAAGAGCGCAAGCAGAGAGAGCAGCAGAAGCAGGCGAAGCTGCAGGTCGGTGGCTCTGACTCCTCTTCCTAATTTGTGAAACGGGAAGGGGCAGCCCTTGCGAGGAAAACGACGGCGGTCCGTCATCTCACGAGCTGGGTGGTGGCTCTGCAGGCCGGCCGAAACGAGCCGCTAGTCTTTAAGGTGCCCTGAGGCACTTCGAGGTTAAAACTCTTCATGTGCTTTGGGTTTTATGGGCCAGAAACATGTGCAAGCAGGAAACTTGTTCGCACTTTTCAAATGTGATTAGATGGATTAAAAATCAATTAAATGCTCTTGCTCAGACTGGCATCTTCTGTTGCAGGAGGAACTGAAGGACGCGGTGGGGTTTTCTCGGGTCATTCACGCTCTGGCAAACTCTGTAAGTTTGTTGACTTCCAGTGAAAAAGGAAGGGCCACTGGAGGATCCCCCAGTGTGGCATCAGTGCGGTGCCTCTAAACCCTGAAAGGGCGAGGCCCTCGCGGTTTGAAGCGGCCCGTCCTCACGAGTTGGCCGACGCCTGCCTTCAAACATCGCCTCTCTCGGAGGGGCGTTTTTACAAGCGAAAGAGCTTTCCGGGTGACGGGCCCTGGGTGTGGCGTGCCTGTGCCAGGCAGACATGCCCGGCCCCAGCTGTGTTGTGCGTGAGGCCAAAACTCCGAAATTGCTCGCCAGGGCACTTTAGAACATTTTTTTGCAAAGTTACATTTAAAAAACCTGCAACTCACGGCCTCTGTCTTTCTTTCAGTCTAAAAATGCATGGGATTCTGCCCTTATGGTCTTAAATATGTTGGGTTTTCACTAGCATTTTACTCATTTCTATTTTTATGAAAATGGAAAGATTGTGTGTCCGTGCAGCCTTGTAGTGGGAGTGCTAGAGGGGGACGCAGACTGCACGGCTTCTAGTCCCTCCTTCACCCTGAAGGTCAGCAAGTGACTTTGGGCCAGTCAATGACTTTTGGCAAGTTCTACCTCACAGGGTTGTTGTGAGGATAAAATGGGGAGGATCAGGAAAAGGAAGCCGCCTTGAGTTCTTTGCAGGAAAAGGGAGGATATAAATGGCCCGAAGTCTTTGAGAACAGACCGTATGCAAAAGCTTATATACATCAGGGTGGTCGTTTAACACTGAAAGCCTCGCTCGGTCCTGTGAACAGAAGGCCTGTCGAAGCAGTTGGGGCGCACGTCAGCCTGGCGGCTTTGCTCCGGCGGTCTGCTCGGGGTGGGGGTCATGCCAGGCCGCCTCCTGCAGGGCGGTCCGTGGGTGCCAGCGTGTGCGCGCCCACTGAACGCCCTCTGTTCTCCGACTTGCAGGGCAAGCTTGTGGTCGGACACAACATGCTCCTGGACGTCATGCACACCGTCCACCAGTTCTACTGCTCGCTGCCAGAGGTAAGCCACGCCGGTGGCTTCCCCCACAGGTTGGCCGCTGCCCAGCTCCTGCCCGCGCGGCGATATCCCCGTGGCGAAGGGGGCTGCCCGGCTGCCGCACCTCCCTGGGAAGCAACGCCGTACACCTGCCACCCTGAGCGCGCATCGGGAGAGCCACGCGTCACCTGGCGGCACGGCCTTGCCGTCTGGCTGAGGCCGGCTTCGTCCCACCTGGGCCGGGAAGGCGGCAGCTCCCTCGAGGGAGGCCCTCCGGAAGCGGGCCGCTGGCCGAGGGGCTCCCAGCCGTGCCTGTGCATCGCAGCTTCTTTAGCACCATCTTCCTGCCTGCATGAAGAGGCCGTGTCTCTTTGCTGAGACTCCGGCCAGTCAGTCTCACTGGATGACGACCACCCCTCCACTTCTGGTCCATTAACTGCTGTTTACATCAGCCCCTCCATGCCAGTAATCCGAGTCCTTTAAATTTTAGGATCTCAGCGAGTTCAAAGAGCTGACGACGTGTGTCTTTCCAAGGTAGGAACTGCTTCCTTTCCACGGTTAGTTGAGTGCCTGTGATCCCTGGTTATGGCCCTTGCTACCAGCTCTGTGTGTGTTTTCCTAGATGTGCCAGGCGTCAGGCTCCTGTGGAACCTGCCTTTTTGCTCTTTTCTAGGGTCCAAGATCCCTGCTGCATTCCCAGGGACAGGCCCCTTCTTCCCAAAACAGCAGAACCCGGGGGAGCGTCACAGCGCCGCCCGCTTTTGCAGCTCGGTGGTGGGATGAGGAGGGGATGGCGGAGCTCCGTGGGGTGCACACACCGCCCCTGCAGCCTCTGGGAGCCCCGCTCAGCTTCTGTCTTTGCCTTGTCCTTCCGAGTCCTGCTTGGCTGCTCTTAAGGACTAGAAACTTAACGTCAGCATAAGCTAGGGTACTTAAGTGTGCAAGTCTGCTCCCACAGCCAAGCCCGTGTGGGCTGGTTGCCAGCTGGAGATGCTTTATTTACTGCGAGCAATTTCTCTTGCAGGCTGCTGGACACGAAATTGATGGCCAGCTCCCACCCGTTTAAGGTAAGCGCGAACCTGCCGCTGCCGGGGGGCCCGTTTGCGGTGCAGGACTCCCCCGCGGCCTGACTCTTGAGAGGAAGCAGCCCGAGCAAATCCTGCCTCGTCGCCACAATAACCAGAGGCGGCGCTCCTTCACACCACCGGCAAAGGCAGGGCTGGCCCCGTGTTGATTCTGGCAGCTGTCTGAGCTGGACCCACGGGAAGGAGGCTCTGCCTGCCAGCCCCCTAAGCATGGCCCACGCCAGGGCGCCCCCCACGGCTCCTTTGGGAGACGCTGCTTGTCCTGCACCACAAGCTTGGCACTGTGTCTGGAAGCAAAGACGCTGCAGCACGCGCTCTTTTGCGTTCCTTTGAGAGCCCCCCTTTGCCTCACCCGACGGGAGAAAAGGCACTGGCAGGTTTGGCAGAATCCTCCCTTTGGAGGATGCGCAAGCAGCTGCTTGTGCTCACCCGTCCGATTTGGCCCTGCTAAAAGTGGGGCTGCCGGGGGGGAAGGTCTCGCAGCCCCAGATGCAGCCTTGAATCGACGCCGATTAGTTCAGGAGACTCCGTTAGCGGCTGGGTGGCCTTCCCAAGCGCTCGCCCCATGTGGCAGTCCTCAGTGAGCCTTTGGGGGGCTCGACGCCTGATCCCCCAACTGCCGTTTGCTTTCAGGAAATCGTTAGCAACACGTCCCTCGCCGAGCTGGAGAAGCGCCTGAAAGAGACGCCCTTCAACCCTCCCCAAGTTGGTAATGGAACGGGGTTGCATCGCGGGGCTAACGTGGTGCCGCCGAGCCGAGGGTCCTCCGGGGTCACGGGATTTATGGGCTTCCGTCGGGTGGCAGCAGCTGTGTGACAAGGCTCTGCTCCCGTGGGTGGGGTAGATCCGACCGGCCCTCCACAACTCTGAAGCTGCGCGTTGCGTGGAGCTCCTGTGCCATGCGCCACGGAGATAGGCCTGCGCCGGCAGCCGTCGCAGAAGAAATCTGCAGGCTCTGCTGCCGTTTTGTCCGAGGCAAAGGGCCCAATTGCATTTCTTCTGCAACTGTAAAGCTTTTAAATTTCTGTAGGAATAGGAGCGCAGTAAAGAAACATTTCTGTGCTTTCGTAGCCAGCAAAACAAGCGCGTGTAAGCTTGGGGATCAAAGAAAAGGGGGAAGTTGGCACCGAAAGGGGGGTGTCTGGATGGAATGTCGCTCCTCCTGAGGAGGCCCCTTGAGTGAAAGGCGCAATTCCTTCTTCCTCAGAAAGTGCCGAAGGGTTCCCAAGTTACAACACGGCGTCCGAGCAGCTCCACGAAGCTGGATATGACGCTTACATTACTGGCCTGTGTTTCATTTCCATGGCGAATTACCTCGGTACGTTGCCGTCAGCTCAGTCTTCCGGGGGGTTCTTTTCTGCTGCCTCTACTGGCTGTGTCTGGGTTTTTCAATGTTTTCTGTTCGCCAGGTTCATACCTCAGCCCTCCAAAACCTCATGTCTCTGCCAGATCAAAGCTCATAGAACCTTTCTTCAACAAGTAAGTAACCTCTGTTTTTCAAAACTTGCCAGGGTGCCGTGGGGACATGTAGCTCTCTTGGCTCAGTGGCGGCGATCCCTCCATGCCCCTCCTTTTGGGACCACACAAGGGACAGATACAGGGGCCAAAAGCAGGAGCCTCACTTAGGAATCCCGCCCCCCCAAAAAGGAAAAGGGTTTCTTGAGACTTGAGGAAAAATGGCTCGGGAAAGAACCAGGCTGTTGCTGACTGGTTCTAGTTTGCTCCATGCTGTGGTTCCCTCGTAGCTCAGCTCTTCAGCCTCCGGAGCCGTCCCGATACAGTTTTCCGGAGCTTTCCTGAGCCTGCCCGTTGGCATCACCATGCAGCTCTTTGCTCAGGGTTGAGATCCTGGTGGTTGCGCTTCTGCGGGGCAGCGGCTGGGGACGATGCAGCCCGAGCGGGCAGTGCTGCTTTGCACGGGCTCCTTTTCTGGAGTCTCTGACGATTGTGCGTGCTTTGGTTAATCAGAGTAAAGCACCGCCCATTGTTCACGAGGGAGCGGGCGGCGTCGGCATCGGAGGGCACTGCAGCTCTGGCGCTTGGGGCTGCCGCGTGCGATACGGGTACTTCATGGTCCTCTCTCTCTCTCTCTCTTTTTTTTAAGAGAGCCAGTTGGTCCAAACATGCAAGTGACTCTCTCCCTTTCACTTCAGATTGTTTCTGATGAGGGTGATGGACATTCCGTACCTCAACTTGGGAGGGCCGGACTGTAAGTATCGCCTTTGCGGCGCATCGGACGGGCGCATCCTCCCCCACGGCCGGCACTGCCGGGCCGGTATTTGTAGGCGCCTGCATGAGGCCGTGCCGTGTTCTTCGGGCGAAGCAGCTGCCTTTGGGGAGCATGGTGCACCTGAGCGAGGTGCGGGGGCCGAGAACAGCCCGGAAGCCGAGTCCGGCGCTTGCCCCCCTTCTTCCCGTGCCGGGAGGGGAGCCGAGAGGAGAGCGGGGCCGCAAGCCCTGGGGGTTCTTTGCACCGAGCAGGCCAGGCCTGCGCCTTGGACACGGGGAAGCAGAGCTCCGCCCGGACCGCCTCCCGCCTGGCGCAGATGCTGGCGCGAGGGGGGCCGAGGCAGAGGGGGCGGCTGGAGCCCAGGAGCGGAGCCGCGGTCAGGACCGCAGGCACACGAAGGAGCTTTCTGCAGGCCAGTGCCCTCCCGCTGTGTTGGACTGCATCTCCTATCCTCCCCAGCCAGCATGCTGCCTGGGGAGGATGGGGGCTGAGGTCTCGGGCACCTGGAGGTTGCCAGGTGGGGGGAGCCATGCACAATGGCCCACTGGGCCGACCTGCTTTCTCTCGTAGCGAAAGCCGCGGTTTCTGCCTGCAAGGTCCAACACGGCTCCCTCTCGCACGGCCTCTGCTTGGGTGCTCGCCAGTGCCTGCACTTCGCAGGGGCAGAGGGGCGTGAGAGTCCAGAGCGTTGGACCGGGGAGGTCTGGGCCCCCGTCTCCACGCAGCCGCCAAGCTCACGGGGTGACCTTGGGCCCGACACGGACTCTCAGCCGTGCATCAGCTCACAGGGTTGTTGTGGGCGGCCTTGAGCTCCTTGCAACAAGGAAAAGGAGAGACGGCACTGTAGTGCCAGTAAGCAGACCTAAATCCTGGCGGCGCTAACGGGCTTTCTGTGGGCTTTGCAGTGCAGCCTAAGCGCGACCACGTCCTTTACGTGACGTTTCCCAAAGAGTGGAAGACGAGCGACCTTTACCAGCTCTTCAGTGCGTTTGGTGAGTAGCCAGGCAAAGCCGCGTGTGACTCCTCTGGGGCATGGATCGTGTCCTCCTTAGGTTCCGTCCTTCACGCTGCTCTGCTCGCCAGGAACGGTGGGTTTCGCGGGCGGCCTTGTGGAAGTGCGGTCGGGCCCGGCACCCCAGAGAAGAAACGAGGGGGGCTCGGACAGCTGCCCAGAGGCGGGGGCTGGCAAGTGGCCGCAGGGGCAGCTTGACCGCGGGGCTGAGGGTGGCCACACGTGGCTTCGCTTGTGCTGACGGTTCTCCAGGCCTGCGCTCAGGGGGCAGCTGTAGCACGGGGGCCGCATCCCTCCATCGTGCCTGAAAAGGATGCGAGCGTCCCGGGACGCACCACCCACGGGGAGTCGGAACACCCGACCCGTGGGGCAGCGCCCCCTCCCGGCTGCACGGCACCCCGAGGAACTGCTGGCGGCTGAACCCAGTGCTTTTCTCGCCCCAGGGAATATTCAGGTGTCCTGGATTGATGACACGTCCGCGTTTGTGTCGCTCAGCCAGCCCGAGCAAGTGCAGATCGGTGAGTTGCCAGCGCGGCTGTGGCAGGACCGCGGGCGGGGAGGCTGCTGTGGGCACTGCCATGGGGCGGCCTTGGGCGGCTGCGTCATTCCCCCAGGGAGGGGGAGCAGGCGCGGGACTCCCACGCGACTGCTCGGCTCCGGTCGCTTGCCAGCTCAGCAGGAAATACCTGGCGCAGAATCGACCTTTCCCACCTGTAAAAAGCTGGCAGTGGGGAAGAAGCTAAAGAACTTTATTTCTCTCATTTATTGAGCCCCATTGCATATACTCTTTGCCACGCAGCTTTCTACCTTCCCACTGTGAGCTTAAATGCATTTCAGCCAAGGGAAAGTATCAGGAACGAAGAGACCAGCAAGCCTCGTCCCTCTGTGGCGGAGCTGGATCCAAGCCAGTTAGAAAGGATAATCGGGTTCTCCCGCTCCCCGAGGAGCAATCTGGCCGAACCCTCCAAGAGTCGCCCTGCTTACGTCAGGCAGCTTCCTAGAGGGGTTGCAGTCTGGAGGGCCGCAGCTGCAGGGGCTGAGCTCCCCCAGGAGGGCAGGGGTCTTCGGGAGGGGGAACGGATTCCACACGGGGGGCCTTGGGGAGCCCGGCCTGCAGCCGTGCCAGCAGATGAGTGGCCTCCGTGCGCCACGTCCGCTCGCTGGCCGTCCTGTGGCTGAGGGCTGTCCGCTGCTCCTCTCCTCGCCTCGCCTCGCCCGTGTCCGTGCCTCTTCTGTGCGCTTGGCGGGGGGGGGGGGGGCCTTTTTCTGGGCGGGGGGAGAGGCAGACCCAGTGTGGCCCTGGACTACTGCACATCTTCCCTTCTTGCCCTTCCACCCAGACCATTTCCCAGCGCTCCTTCTCTTGGCCACGGCCACCTGGCAGGACACTTCACCTGCCTCAGACGCCCCACAACAGGCGGCCGTTTGGTTCTGACGCCCCTTCGGGGTGGCTTGGCCCGGATCAGGCCGGCTGGCCATCTGCCCACTCCCGTGGGGGCCTCCTCGGAGCGCCAGATGGCATTCGCGCCAGTGCCGCCGCGTTTGGGCTTCATCTGCCGCCCGGGGGCCGCAGATTTTCCTGAGCCGAAGGACAGACGGCCACCCTGCCCTGCCCACGTGCCCAGTGGCCGGTCCCTCGGCCCCCCACGGGCAGCGGGCAGAGTGTCTTTGCGGGGACAGGGAGGGAGGAGCCCGTGCACCCGCTGCAAGCTCTCTGGAGAAGAGCAGAGGAGCACTGGCGGCCGGAGGCTTGTGTGCGGGGGGGGGGGGGGGGGG